ACACACCCATTGTAACAAGAGTTATGGAGAGACTGGTGAAAGCAGAAATTCTTAACTTCTTTTTGCCTCGTAATCTTATTAATAGGTCTCAACACGGGTTTCCACCCCCAAAATCCTGCCAGACTTGTATGTTTGAGAATTTAAACAACGTCACTGACGCGACAAACGTAGGTCATAAAGTGGTCATCATCTTCCTCGACATGAAAAAGCATTCGACCGCGTCCCACACCTGAAACTACTGACCAAACTCGCCTCGTTTGGCATTGCCGGGAAGCTGCTCTACTGGTTTGCATCCTACTTATCAAATCGAACACAACCGGTGAGCCTGGGCGGCACGCAGTCTTCTAGAAAAGCTGTCACCAGCGGAGTCTTTCAAGGAAGTGTCCTGGTCCCCATGCTCTTCTTACGCTACGTCAATGACATCTTCCAAGTCTTCCGCTGGGGAACGCCATACTTATTTGCAGACGACATCAAAGTCGTATTTTCCTTCGTCTCCGATAATATGAAAGATAACCTATGCACCATACAAAGAAACTTTATGGCGCTAGAAAACTGGTGCGCAAATGGAATCTCGAATTTTCCCCAGGAAAAAGCAACGTTCTCTCTTACAAATGCACCGTGCCACCGAATACCCTTACTCTCAATGGCGCTCCCCTTACCGTTAGCCACTTTGTTGGTGATTTGGGGATTCAATACTCCAATACCTTTAACTTTGCGGTACAGGTAAGCTATAGTGCAGCTAAAGCTAGGTCGTTAGTAGGCCAAATCTTCAAATCCATGTCGCTTTTGGAACCTCGAATGACACTGTATAAAACGTGCGCTAGGCCTATTCTCGAATACTGCTCCATAGTCCTTACGAACTCACGTAAGTGCGACAGGATTGCACTCGAGAACGTACAGCGTTCCTTCACCAAACGTCTACTGGGCTCAAACATGCTGAACTATCGTAGTCGATGCAAACAACTGGGACTGGACCCGCTGTGGCTACGTAGGCTAAAGATAAACTTTACGTTTCTATACATACTTAAACAAAAACAGGAAACAAACCTGACACGACACTTCAGAACGGAAGGAGATACCCGATAACATCTGCGCAACGCGACCTTTTCATTCAGTCTGCCGGCTGCTCGTTGTGGCATACGACATAACTTCTTCCTTTATAGATACGCGGACACCTGGAACAAATTATCTCTGCAAATCCGATCAACCATGACCAGTTCACACTTCCACAATGCTATACGGAGATTCCTCGACGTACACACATTTTCCGAACTATTAAGCCTCAAAGTGACGGAAGGCGAGCTACGGGAGGCAGGACCAAACAACCTCTAGCGACTGAGCCTACATCCCCTTTTTACTGCTTCATTACCAACAGTTTCCTACTTCATTTTAACCTCGCATCACGGCTGTTTCTGATACCTTATTCGCACGTCTGCTCTCTTTGGTCCTTCCTATCCCTACCTAGATGACACAGCATCACGACTTCCATCTCTTTGATCCAAATATTTTACTTACTGTTCCTTTTAGAACGTTGAGGTTTACATCCTTAGCCGCATCTTTGCTTTCTCTACTCCTCCCTTATGCTTTACTCGACTCAGTGTATACTGTTTTTGGCACCTCTTCTGATCCTTATCGCAACTCCTTAATAGTGGCCTAAGTACACATAACGCCCGTGCCAAATCCTAGGCCACGCTAGATTCGCTTTCCTACTATCATGCTTCTCAGCTCACTTCAACGCCTCCCTCTCTTGCTTGGCCTCTCTTTTGGCCCATATCGTAATTGTTCAATGGTGGCATAGGTACCACTAGCGTCAGCGCAAAATCCTAGGCCTAGTTTAATTCTCTTTGCTACTGTGGCACTCATTCTTAAAACTTTTCGACTAGTCCGGCCTCTCAGGCCCCAAACGCCTATAGGCCTCAAACCAAGGCCTCTTTTCATTTGAACATCGGCTGCCATCAACGAAGGCTCTCATTTGTAAAAGTGACAACCCATGATACTCGTCTCCGTCTGATACATTATCTGCATGCTTGTACCCCCTACCGAAAACGAAAGTTCCGGTCCTTGATTAGTTTGCCTCTCGGCTCCACTCTCATGCTTCTCAGCTCACAATTACCTCCCCTCTCTTGTTTGGCCTCTCTTTTGGTCCGTACCGCAACTGTCCAATGGTGGATTAGGTTCCCATAGTGTCAGCACAACATACTAGGCCACATTTGATCCACTTTCCTACTACGCCTTGCACTCTTAATCCTCCTGGACCACACAGGCCTCAGGCTCCAAATGCCTATAGGTCTCAAACAAAGGCTTCTCTTCCTTTGAGCATCGATTAAGTTCTCATTAGCATAAGTAACAGCCGCATGATACTGGCCTCTGTCTGGTACGTTATCTGTACGCTTGGTCCTCTGCAAAATTGCAATTTCAGTTCTCCGATTGAGTTCTGCCTCTCGGCGCCACTATCATGAACCTCAGCTCACAATTACGTCCCCTCTCTTGTTTGGCCTCTCTTTTAAATAAATAAATAAATAAATATTTTATTCTCGACTATGCGAGTCACGCCAATTAAGGCATGATCAGGTTTGTACAGCTGTACAGGCATTTTATGGCAAGTGTAGTGACAGTAGAAATTTGTTCATATGTCCATGCTTGGAAGTGTGCAATGGTGAAGATGCGAATCGATTTGGTTGTAGTGGGATCGGGACCCATTAGTTTGGACATAATCGCTCTGCCATATATTGCAGTCGTACCTCGAAAAACAATAGCTTGAGAATCCTGAACGATTCTTATAATACTGCGTCTGAGGGAAAAATATTAGGCTTAAGACATTTGAGAACTCCTAGTAAATGCATCCTACCAGCCCTAAGCCTTGCATGTTGAAAGCGTGCGGTGCTGCTGATACACATAAGTTTAGCATTAGAATTGGTCAAAACCGTTTAATTACCTGCTTTAGGTGAACCTTCATGTGCCTTCGGAGATGTCGGTTGTTAGCTGGCATTAATTGATGCGGTTTCATTAAGCCTGAGCACTAGCTACTTTACTCCACCGGTTCCGACTACTATCAGAAGATAAACAGCAAAATGACATATATCATACAAAATGTCAACAATGAGAGCACTTTAAAGGTTCTAGGCCTTAGGAGCAGACATTTTGCTCTCCACATATCCCCACTTTGCCCCGTATCCTTAGCTTTAGCTGGGGTATATATGCATTTCACTATGGCAACAATGGTAGACTAGACAGACCTTATGAAAACCAGCTCCTCTGCTTCCACGGCTTATTCTAGTAAAACACACGCATTTCCAGATTCCATTTCACTGACACGAAACCTAATCAACGACAAAGAGGCCCTTGTCACACTGGCTGGCTAGACCACCAGAAATCTTCCACCACCACTTTCCTTGTTTTAGCCATCCGTGGGTTATTTATCTTTTAACTGGCTCCAAAGCCTACCTTGCGTTATGAATAATGGCGAATGAACGCGCAGCTCCCACTGGTTGTGTTACCGAGCTACTTCTGATTTACCTTATCACTATTTTCTTAGGGTGCTATAAAAACTTCTGAAAAGAAAACCACAAAGGAAATAGCCGGCGCGACAGTATAGTAATGGTTAACGTTGCCAACTGGATGAAGACCGCTGGCACTTGCTTCGGAAATTAAAATTAAAGAGAGAAATATCTCCAAATTAATCAAATAGCTCCACCATAGTGGGCATCAAGGCGTGAGGCATACTAAACCCTCGTGTTCGAGCAAGCTCAATCCCCAGAAGTAGAGTTGCTTATGCCGAAAGTAGACGGGAAATACTACCATCGGAGTTATTTAGCTAACTTAAAACTCTACACCAGGAATATTAAACGTTGCAAATATGACAAAAATAACATCACCAAGCAAAACAACAAACGTAATAGTTAAGCACTGACAAAAATTACTGGGAGAAGCTCACAGCATTAACTATGTAGTGGAAACCTGTGCTCGCTTTACTTCCTACGTACAGGCAACTCAAGCAAGTCAAGCTGCAAAATGCTGGTTTGGAGTCTTGACTTGCGTGCTGGTACGATAAACAGATCAATCCTAAGGCTAGAGCCTATTTCAACTGGACAGTTTCCGAACGGTCGTGCTGTTGACATACCATAGCGGCACTGACACGCTTCAGCATGCGGCTTGGGAGCGAAAGTATGGCGCCCTAAATTACCTACTCGTGCAAGCCGAAGTCGTTTCCGTCAGATCAGGATCCAATACGCTACTTCAAACCATGTGCCAGCGTTACATGAATGTGAAACAGAAAAGGTACTTGAAATCCATTAGTGATTGGTCAGTTAAAACGCCATATACGAGATTCGAACAGTAGATTGCTATTCAAACATTACCTGCCCAGAAAATGAAAGCAATAAACAATTTTTACAAGCTAAGTTGCGGTTTTTTATAATTGACTTATTAACTTCCCGTCATAATTGTTGTTCACCTTGGTCAAAAGTTTCTTAGTGCTGAAATACGGTTTTTTCCTTTACCTAAGATTCCTGTGTGATTTGTGCGTACAACGAGGAAGCGCTACTAACCTTAGGCAATATGTACAGTTACCATTTATCTACGGAAGCAAGGAATATTAGCCAAAATTCCAGTTATAGTACGACCGCACTACAAAACGAGGCAGCATGGAATACTTTGCCGCATAACTAGTTTTCGTTAAGGATACCCTACTTCTACCATGCAGTAGGTGACTACCGTCTTCGAACGAGGTCTGGACGTAATGTGGTTGATCACGTTCCACGAAGCAATGTGCATTATTAATACAACATCTAAAAAGATGCAAGTATTCTATGCAAATACATGAAAGGTAGTGCGCTTACTGCTCCTACCTCTTGCTTTTTCTAATGTAAACGGAACAATCTATTATCAACTCAAAGTGCACTTGCACACGAAACTGGTGGCTGGTTAAGCGAAGCTTATTTTGTTCCTGGACCCTGTCCTGGACATTATGAAGTTAGATTGTATTTCAGGTAATTACTGTAGCTATTCCAGAGAACAAGAGCACAATCCTTCAATTTAGCATAGTTGTTTTACTGACCTCCGATTAATGCAACAGTGCTGTGTATCCTGGCACCGAACGACGCGCACCACATGAAACACCAAAGAAATGGACGCGAACGACTTGCATCTTAACATTGACTACGTCGGTTCATGTGGCATCGTGCTGACTCCAGAGCAAAAGGCCACATTACAAACTTCTTTAACAATTCTAAAACATGAGAGCAATTTTTCTAACGTTCTATTCTGGGGAATTATTCGAGGAGTTACTGGCGACTACTATATAGCTCATGGGGTAAGTAAAGATGCCATGACGGAGAGAAGAACGCTGTACAGGTAAGGTTCTTATACGAAGTGAAATACGTTTGCAGCAAAGACTGCCTTGTATGGGGACTTTTACCGGTCCCAGGGAAGTCAGATATCGAGAAGAGCGCCTTTTTCAAGACTCGGTTCACGGGTGACCCCTCTTATGAAGCTGAGTTCGTTAACATCACACAGGTTCCTGGTGATGGTGACCAACTTTTCGAAAGCGAGGAACTGGTAAATGCTGTATTTACCATAGAAGTGTAGGATGCAGATCACAATGAAAGAAGAAGATCGGCTGGCCGCTGTTGTGGAGAGAATTGAGCATGAAGTAGCGATCGTGCCTCGTGGAGCATACATGAGACTCGCTTCGGGACAAATCGTTCGTAATAAAAGCTTCGAAGGTTGTAGTATCTTTATTACCTATCCTTCTTTTAAGGTTTGACAATTGCTGAAGCTTCCAAGCCCCTCTCGTACTTTCACTTTCGGCCTCCGGTGTACTTGCCGCACAAACCCCTACGTGATAGAGCAAAATTGGACAAAGCCATAGACTTTCTGGACACTATAGAAGACGATAACCCAAAAGGCAAGTGGTTTAAAGGAAATCGTTTCCATCCATTCAATTAACCAACAAATCTGGTTATTCAAGGTAGAATGATTTGGACAAATTTTGAAGTATTTGGGGAGAAATATGCTCTTTAAAACGAAACATCGGTAACCAGAGTTCCTTTGTGAGATTGTAGCATAACGATTGCAGAATTTTGATCACGAACTTAGCAGGCATCTTCAGCTGCTAGCCGTTAACAATCAGTCAAAAGAAGCAGGATACGTCTTCGGTTCAGTACTTGTTCAAAAGTTGTAACTAGCATCAACAGCATACACGTAAACTGAGGGTGAGAAACGCACATTTGACAATGAGCCACATTACAAAACAGATAAGAGGTTAAATATTACAAGCTACAAAATTTAAAAAGTAACATTCTACTAAAAGCACATTTTGCATTGCGTTGTGATCGGTGAAGAAGGGGGTGCTTAAGAGGAGGGGAGAGGCAGAGACTCACGACATAAACGTCATTGAGGTCGGCTCCTTGCCTCAGCTGGTATCTCCAACCAAACGTTCGCATCGTCCTTCGGATCCCAATCAAGCAGTCAGGTCAGGTACAACGGACGACAGAGGCTTTCGCCCAGCGAGCGTCCATTTTCTTGTGCCTATAAGAATATCACTTCGACGTTGTATTGAGTCTCCTTGCTTTTAGTGGTCCTAAATATATGAGTGTGGGTGCAGTCCAAGTGCCCTATATGGAATCGTTGTCTGGAAAGCACGGTAAACAGACGTCGAGTAACCATGCCGAATAGTCACGACGAATGCACACATCATCATCATCATCATACACGTTAGCTAGAGGCGGGAAACACCTCAGATACTGTGCCGCAATACAAAGAAAAAAGGAGCGAAAAAACAACTGGTAAAAGCCGGCTGAGCTACCGGTAACGGATGGGCATCGTTCCGGTAAGCTACCAGCCGGCTGCTGTGCACCCAAAAAAATTATTACGCAAAATTATATAAGGCTAAGTAATGAGATCGTGGTTGGAGGGGGAGGCTAAGAGGGATGGGGTGGGACAAAGAAACTCAGAGCCCGAACGCCACTGAGGTCAGCTCCTAGCCATATCAGCAAGTGTGTCCAACCAAACGTGTTCATCGTCTTTCGGACCCCAACCAGGGAGCCGAAACGCTCCAACCGAGGCCAGCTCCGAAGTGAGGGCCTTCATTCCTCTGGACCAAGTCATCGCTTGGCCACCTCTCCTCTTCTTCCATCCACACCCCGGCGCGCAAACAACGTACGTCGCGGAAGTCGGTGGGCTGGCATGCGTAACACGTGGCCGAGCCAACGGAGCCTGATGCGTGAAATAACGGTGCTGAGCGGTTCATTTCCTTTTCCTGTGCCATAAACAAGGCGTCGAACACGCTCATTGCTCACGCGGTGTTCCCACCAAGTGTGAGCTAAATTACGAAGGCACCGGTGGTCGAACGTAACTAGCCTCTTCAGGTCCGCTGCTTTAAGCGGTCAGGTTTCACAACCGTACAATAGGGTCGAACGTACTGCTGCATTGTACACTCTACCCTTCAGGGTAAGAGTGATGTCGCGCCGGCGCCATAAGTGGCGAAGGTTAGCAAAAGCGCCCCGAGCTTTTGCTATACGATTCGTGAGTTCATCTCCAATCCCACGGGCGCTGATACAATTTCCCAGGTAGTTGAATTTTTGAACGACTTCTAGCTGATCCCCACCAAGGGTCAGCGTAGGAGGCGGTCCAGACCAATCTTGGAGAAACGCTTTGCACTTCGAAAGTGCGAAGCAAAGCCCGAAGTGACGGACAGCTAGTGCTAATCTGTCCAGTGCCGCTTGGCACGTCTGGGAGCTGTCACAGATCAGGGCAATATCATCAGCATACTGTACATCAAGAAGTCATTCTCCTGGGAGTAGCTCCACACCTTCTAAGTCGTGCCCTGTAAACGCGATTTCCATGACTTCGTCAACAGCGAAGTTGAAGAAAAAAGGTGACAGCGGGCATCCTTGTCTCACGCCGCTGGAGATATTAAAGTGCGACGACAACTTGCCGTAAGCCCTCACTCTGCCCGAGCTACGAGCATATAATGCTCGGATAATATTCACATATTTCTCAGGTACACCTTTCCTGAGTAGACAGTTCCAAAGTGCATGTCTATCCACCGAATCGAATGCACCTTTGATATCGAGGAACACGACAACGGTGGGCCGCCAATATATGTGACGGTGCTCCAACAACTGACGCAAGGTGAAGATGTGGTCAATGCAGCTACGACCTCGACGAAATCCAGCTTGCTCTTCACGAATCTGGCTTTCACGAGTGCCAGTCAGTCTGTGAAGGATGACAGAGGCAAGCAATTTGGAGGCGATGGAGATCAGACTGATTCCTATATGGCTGCCGCATTCTGATCGTGAGCCTCCTTTGAAAATTGGGACTATGATGGAGCGGCTCCAATCGGTTAGGACAGTTTCCTGCTCCCACAGTCTCACTAATAACTCGTGTAAATCATCCACAAGAGCAGGTCCCCCGAATTTGAAAAGGGCTGGAGGAAGGTCATCCTGTCCCGCGGCTTTATTTAACTTCAACACTTTGATCTCATGTTCGACTTCTGAGCGAGAGGGTGGATCCAAAGGAACAGCCCACGGAGCAGGGCGATTACTGGTCGGCGAGAAACCTAACAATTCCGACCGATTAAATTGCCTTTCAAAGTGCTCAGCCCAACGTTCCAGGCATTTTGATAAATTGTGGATAGGCTGTCCACTCTCGTCATGTATAAATTCACTAGCACCTTGTCTCCTGCTGCCCGTTTCCCGTATCAGACGGAATAACTCACGATGATTACCAAGGGCAGCGGCCATTTCCATCTCTGTTGCACGACGAGACCACCAGGATTTGCGGTCTCTCTTCAGGCTAGCACGGAATTTTGCCCGGAGCTCTTTGCGAGTTTCATTGTGTTCGCTTCCAGCCGGAATATGCCGGCGAGCATCTATAAGTTCCAAAGACTGTGAAGAGACCCAATGTTCATGTTGGCGATTAGACATACCACATGAGGATTTGCCTGCTGCTAGTAAGGCCTGTTGCATATGAGACCAGTGAGCGTTTATCCAACTCGGATGACAGCGTAATTTGATAGGCATTCAGAACAGTTGGATTCACCAGTCTGCCGGTGTCAATGCGCGCACAACATCGTCGCGGGCGTCCGCCAAAGCGCATCCGCAGGTCAGCACATACAAGTGCATGATCGGTGTCGACACCTGTGCTCCAAATCGAGCGACAGTTCTGGACACAGCCTCTCCAGCGGTAACTGATAGCAATGTGATCGATTTTCGTTCACAGCTAGTTCGAGGCTGGTGGGCGCCAAGTCACTCTCCGGCGGGTGCTGTGTCGGAAATTAGTGCTCGCAAGAAATAAGCGAGCATCCTCACACAAATGAAGTAACCGCTCACCGTTATCATTACGGGAGCATACACCATGTTGGCCGCCCAGATGCAGCTCATCTGCGGATAATTTTCCAACTTGAGCGTTCAGATCCCCAGCCAGCACTACAGTGTCCGAGCTTCTTCTGTGGCGAAGGAGTTCGTACGGTTGGCGATAGAAGTCGTCTTTTACCGAGTCCTCGCTACAGTTTGTCGGTGCATAGGCAGCGATAACGAATAGACACCTGTTAGTCCCGCGCGACTTCGAAGTTTTGAACGAGCCAGCCAATCGGACCGCACACAACCGGCTACTGATTGGAATCCAGTCAACTAGAGCAGCTTCAGCCCGGGGACTCAGGGCAATACCAACACCGGCTTGGCCGGTGCTCGAAGCTGCATCGTCACCGGATAGGCGCAATGAGAAAGTGCTGCTAGTGTCATCTGAAGGGGATCGCAGAGTGAGTACAGTGCTCGAGTCTTGCAGGCGGGTCTCCGATAAGCAGCAGATATCGATCGAGAGGGTCTCCAATGTTCGGGCAAGTGCTGCCTGTTGACCAATCTGAAGCAATGTGCGAACATTGAGGCATGCCAGTCTGAAGGAGGATCGAGGGCTCCAAATGGAAGCCGATGCACTGGAATGGGCCGCTTGCTTGGACATGGGCCTGTTGACAGTGCAGGAATGACGCTCTGCGTTCACCTGTGAGTTGAAACTAGAAGACAAGCGACTACTGAAGGAAGGTGGGGGAGGGCCGAGAATTGGGGGGTTGAAAACAGGGGGTATAAAAGTAAAGCTGGAACGGGACGATAAGGGTGAAAAAGCGCAAGAAGGGGAATAAGAAGATGGGAAGGCCTGAGCAGTAGCATCCAAACCCCTATCCACCCTGCTCGATGCAGCAGATAGGGCACCGTTGATTATTCTCTGCGGTGGCCAGAGCATCAGAAATTTGTTTGGGGAAGGATTCATTGTATTGCGTGGGCAGGATACTGTCAGGTTGCCCAGGCCTAGACGAAGAACGCACACACATAGAATCGAAGCGAGTGTATTATACGTGCGGTCGAGAACTCCGAGGGCTTCCGCGTCCAGCGTAAACGTAGGTAGTAACAGACTTGGGGAGCTTAGAGTTAAAACGCAAGGTCACACGCGGACTGTAACGTGCAATCGTCCTAGTAGGAACAAGAGTGGATGCGATGTGCTGAAAAGGTGTTGTGTTTCCGCTGACAGTACGTATAGTTGATGCAGCCGCTTTGGTAACGACACACGTCAGGTCGGGAAACACCAACCGACGGCAAGTTCGAAGTGATGTACTCCATTTCTCTAGACGGATTCATCACTTGGTCTCCGCTCCTCTTCTTGCATCTAGACCCCAAGCGCACAGATAACGCACGATGAGAGTCGGTGGGCTGGCATGCGCAGCACGACGCCTAGCCAGTGAAGCCTGGTGCGTGATATGACAGTGCTGAGCGGTTCACTACCTATTTCGGCAACAAATACGCGAAGCCGAACAAGCAAATTGCTCACGCGGTGTTCCCACCATACGTGAGCTAAGCTAGGAAGGCAGTGATGGTCGAACGTAGCTAGCCTCTTTATGTCTATCGGTCAGGTTGCACAAATGCAGAGGAGGGTTAATCGGACGGCTGAATTGTAAATTCTGCCCTACGGAGCGAGAGCGATGTCAAACCGACGCCATAGGTACGGAGATTGGCAAAAGCACCCCGAGCCTTCGTTATACGGTTGGTGAACTCATCTTCCATTTCAGGTAGTTAAATTTTTAGAGGATTTCTAACTGAGCACCACCAAGTGTCAGTGCAGGGGTGGGTTCCTGCGCATCATGGAAGACTTTGGATATCGTGGATACAAAACAAAGCCCGAAACGGCTGATAGCCAGAGCTAATTTATCCAGTGCAATTCAACAAGTCCGGGAAGTGTCTCAGATGAGCGCAGTGTCGTCGGCATACTCAAAGTCATGAAGTCGGCCACCTTGGAAAAACTCCACACCTAAGTCATGACCGGCAAACGCTGGTTCCGTGACTTCGCTTAGGACGAAGTTAGAGAGGGAAGGTGACAGCGGGCAAGCTTATTTCACATCGCGGGATAAATGAAGGACAGAGACAGTTTGCCGTAAATCCTCACTCTGTCCCGAACTACGCGCGTATAGCATT